CACTATCTTGAGATAGTGTCAGTCAGGACTCACATTGACTCCCAGGGCAGGAAAAAGCACAAACGTGGGGTAAATGTTACCAGAACAACCAATGCTCTCACTATTGGGAGAAGGAAGAGAGGGTATTTGGCAGAGGAGAAGAAAGTTCCTGCAAGAGACAAAAATGGCAAACTGAGCTAGGGGGTGAACTATGAAAGCAATGGGGAAAGAACTCTGGGCCTCAGCAAGAGATTTTTGAGTGGCCTGGTAAGGAAGAAAATAGGATTTCACCACTTGATGAGACCAGGTACTGAAGGTCTGGTCCACTGATCATGGGCCTTGTAAGAGGGAGGTCCAAAGAAGATAAAACTCGTCACATCTTATGGTGAGGAGCAACTGCAGAAAGGGAAATGTGGGGCTAGCCAAAAGCTTTCCCTTTGTCTACAGAAAGGAAAAGATATAAGCCACAATGCTACAAGGCAGCACCACAGCACCCCACTTGAAAACAGAGAGGTGGCTGGAAGAGATCAATCCCTTACCCACAGATGCAACACTGGGATGCAGGACTGTCCTTTGGTATTGCTTCCCATGCCATTGCCAGCCCTTCTACTGTTCTCCTTCCTGCCTTCCTCTCTTCTGGGATGCAGGAGGCACAAGAAATAAAGAAGAGGTGAGCAATGTGACATCCATAGAGCTGCCCTGGCTGAAGAATGCTTTACTCCCTCTCTCCATGGGAGGCGGACACACAAATGTGGCAGCCATTGCTGCTGCCAAGTAAGAAGGCAATCTATTTACAGTAAAAATTCTGTTATCCGGCATCTTATAGGCCAGCATGCTCCACTAACCGGCATGCCGGCTTGTAAGATAAAGTGAAACCAGAAGTGCCCACCGTGGCACTTCTGGTTTCTCCAAGCCCCTATGGCTCAGGGCAAAGCAGCCTGTGCTGCCAAGCCCCCACAGCCCAGGGGCATAACAGGCTGTGTGGGGCTGTGCGGGATGGGTCGGAGGGACGCCCCAGATGAGGTGTGAGAAGCAGGGGCCAGGGCCGCTCAATTAACCGGCATATTTTGTTATCTGGCATCCCCCATTCCCAGGGGATGCTGGATAACAATAGTTTTTACTGTATATGAATAAGTAATGATGTTGATACATCTCACCACAATATGGTATGGTGTTATGTTATACCCTGGTCCTATGAATGTCATCATGTCTCCTTCTAGTGGCTGGCTCTGGTCACTGCAACAGTAGACTGAGAGCCAAGAAGCAAGGTTTTGATACTGACAGTTTCTGGCAAATGATAGCTGCGTGTTAAGAAAGGTGTAAGAAAGAAACATAATTGTTTGTAGCTTGGATTTGCAAAAGCCTAGAGCCCTGGCTGGACATAGTTCCTACTAAAGTATATGGGAATTTTACCACTGACTTATGTTAAAACAGAACTAGACTAGAACAGAACTAGATTTACTTTTAAGAGCACAATCCACAATGTACAGATAAGCAGAACTAATTAAGGTCTTAATACACAACTGATACCCTTCATGAAGTTAACTTTCTTACTTCAAGGTTTTATTTCTCCTATTCTTTAGGTTTTCATTTTTTAAACCTAACTATATTTCTACTTGAGCTCCAGGAAAAAGAAGGCAGAACATTGGAGTATAAAATAGGTGAGGGATGTCTTCCAGGAGACTGTACTTTAAACAATATATATATTTTCATCCAAAAATAAAAATAACAAAAAAGCAAAGGCTTAGTGATAGCTGCTGAAACAGGAATACACTGCCTTCAGAGAGGCAGAGGGAGAGCTGTACAGCTCACTCACAGGTGAAGGGGCTAAAAGGCATGCCACTGAGTATATGTGATCCATGTATAAAGAAAATCCATCTCCAGGCTGGTTAAGGCCAAACTACTAGGACAAAAAGTAAAGTAATACAGTTCTTCTGCTGCTTTGGCAGGGACCAATAACACTAAAGACAAAATTAGATACTCAAGCAGCATATCAGTGGGTATGTTATGAGAGAGATTCAAAATGCTCAAACACATAAAGACACAGAGCTTTCTCTTGTTTTATATATACTTATTATGTCTGTGCTGGGGAGGCTGCTGTACCTCAGAGTTCCTCTTCTTGTTTTTGACCTGCTCAGCTCGGCTGGAAGAAGTGTTGCCACTCATTCAGTTATCATTATGTAATATTCCCTAATCATTTGTCTACAACACCTTAGCTTGTATATAAAAAGCCTGGGATTCAAGGGTAGCCTGGCTTAGGACTCTTTAGCTTCTAAAAGTCAGACAAGATCAGGTACATTTAATCCAGCACAACTGAAAAAATATTTTTTTTAGGGGAACCATAGAAAAATAGGACTCAAACGGACCTGCAAAAGTCATCTAATCTAAGCTCTTGCTTAAGGCAGATCATCCCTGTCTACCATGCCAGCCAAGTATCTGTCCAGCCTGCACTTAAAAACTCTCAAGGCAGCTATTCCACAATCTCTTTAGCAATCTGCTCCAATGCTTAATCTCTCTCATGATTGGAAAGTTCTTTTTAATATCTTGCCTACATCTCCCTGGTTGGTTGCAATTTTAAGCACATTTACTTCTAGTCTTGTTCCCAGTGGACACAGAATAAAATTGATGGTCATCCTCTCTGTAACAAAATGTTTTGTGTTTGAACAGTTATCACACTCTACCTTAGCCTTCTTTTCTCCAGACTAAAGAAACCCAAGATACTTCAGCCTAGCCAGTCATTCCCCATTTTGTGCATAAGACTATACCTTCCAAGACTTTACGCTTGCCTTAACTGAATGTTGATCTCATTTAATTCAAAACATGTTTCTCCTATTTATCATAGTCATTTTGAATCCTAAGTCTGACCTCTAAAGAACCTGCAAGTACCCTACCCCATCAGCTTGTAATACATGAATCCAATAAAAGAATGCTCAACTAGATCATCCAAGTTATTAATTACCATATTGACCAATATAGGACCCAGGACAGACTCTTGGGGAATACCAGGTGATATCTCCTCCCACTTTGATACTGAACCATTGATAACTAGTCTTTGAACATGATTATCCAAGTAGTTATGCACCCACCTCATACCAATGTCATCTAGACTATGTTTCCTTAGCTTTTGAGAATGTCACAGGAAATAGTATCAAAAGTCTTACTAAAGCTGAGCTATTTCACATCCATTGGTTACCCACAGCAAATGTGGTTAAAAGTGCAAAACAGCATCTTCTTCATAGCATAGTGAAAGCCAGATGCTTCCTTTCTGCAGCCACCAGGTTTAATGAGGAGCTGTTCATCCTGGCTCCCCCCCCACCCCCATCTGCCCTATTTTTGAATGATCACAATGAACATTCCCTCATTAAACCTGAGGCCCTTGTGGTGGCTAGAGAGAAGAAGCAGCTGGCTTTCCCTCTGCCATGTAGATGATGCTATTTTGTACTTTTGACCACATTTGCTCGTTGGTAAAATTGCATTATGGTTATTTAAATGGTCTATTCCAAGCTGAGGTAGTAAATTCAATAAAATATTACATGTTCAGACTGAAGCGCACAAAAAGTTATTGTGAAGGCTAAGCACCTGTTGATATTCAAGAGCAAAATCCCATGAAATTCACACTTGAAAGCCCTTCCCATTCATCTAACACACCTCAAGAGGAAATCTTATTTTTAGTGGTGGACACTAAAATCCATTGTCACTTTACCACAATCATTTCTCAGGGGGAAAGAAGAGAAACACATTTAGCAATACTGCATTTCCCCGTGAAGAGAGTCACATTTTAGGAATAGAATAGTACATTTTCTTGCAATTTATAGACTCTGGAGGATTTCCAAAAGCACACTACAACATCGCAGATGCTTCTCTGTGGGTGCATCTACATGTGCACTTTACTGAGGAGTAGACTAATTAGCTCTGCAGTAAAGCATCACCATCTACACGTGGGCTGGTATTAGGGCATAGTAAACTAATGAACTCTGCTGTAAAATAGTACTGTTGGGGACAGTACTGTTTTATGGTGGAGTAATTTACTGTGCTGAAATGCATGTGTAGATACTGACCATCGGTATAAATTATGCCTGATCAGCCCAGTCAGCTGGGGGGGCCTGCCTTGACCTGGCTCAAGTTGCTGCTGTCCTGGGAGCATGTGTAGATGCTGCGCCTGGGAGCAGTTTATTCTGGCTTGAACTGCTCCAGAGTTTATTGTGTTGCATTAATTGCACATGTAGATGCACCCTGTTACTGCTTATTTATACCGCATGCATTGGAAGGTGGCTTAGTACTTGCTTGGTCAGTATGAGGAATGCTCTCCTGGATCACAGCTGTTAAGATAACCTGAACCAGGACTGGGGCCATATTCCCTGTTTTGTTGTGTATTGTGAGAGACCTAACTTATGCCTATAGGCAAGCACAGAAAGAGAAATGAATCCATGATCTTTCCCCTGAGTGACAAATTCACAATTAGCAGACATGACAGAGATCCACATCCAACTACATTTCTACATCAGAGGTACTGGGATTGACTCTGTATGTTTTGAAATGGCTCCTGCATGTTGAAAGCCACAGAATTAGGAGTACCTGGTGATAACAAAGAACTGAAGGGAAATAAGCAGCCAAGGATGTCCGTGCTTGCTAGCCGCAAGCCCCTACACAGCAAGTGATATTAAATTAGCTGTTCCAGGGTTAGCATGGAATTTCTGATATGTCTCCCGTTCTCTACAAATATCTCTGATCTAAGGTAGACCTAATGCTTCCTGTCCTTTTCCCTTTACTGAGTTTCCAGTTTGTGAAACATAAAAGGGAAGCTTTGCTGGCTCTTTGAGTAGAAAAGTACATATAGATCTACCTCTGAAATGAAGGCAGCATATGAGATTAGATAAAGAACCTGACAGAGACGGAGTCTAACAATGCCTTCCTGCATGGGAGGAAATCTTTTCAAAGGGATCAGCATTGTCAGCTGCTTAAAACACAGAAGCAGGAGGCAGGAAACCTTTGGGTTCTGGTCCCAAAAGTCATCAACTTACTGTGTAACCTTGAACAGGGTACTTGCAATTCCCATGCCTCAGCTCCTGTGTCTGAAAGGTGAGGGCAATATTTAGATTATATACTCTGTAGGACCAGGACTGTCTTTGTTCTATGGTTATATACAACTCAGCACTACAGCTTATTTGCCCAGGCACAATCATAACAGGAATAATAATATTTTACAGCCTCACAGAAGTGTCAGGACTTAATTCATCATTTTTCATAATGTTCTGAGACGATATGGAAAGGGCAGTAGGAGTAAAAAATGTTGACTGTATTTTCTTGTATACTGCATGCCATCAAATAAGACAAACACTTTGGGAAGGCAGAAAAAAACATTTTCCAGTCATGACTGACTACTGACTGCAGGGCAGCCTGACTGCAGTGACTGTGGCTATGAAAAGGTTAACACTGTAGCTGTGACCTTCAACAGGGAACTCTGCCCCATCTCTCCCTGAGGTTGGCAGAGGGAGAAGCCTAACAGCCACCTTGCAGCAGTGTCTCCATGCTTCTATTCCAGCAAAGAAAATTCAGCTTTCTTGTTTAAGACATATCCCAGTTTTCAAAGGCTGATTTTGGGGAAAAGGTGCATATAGTATGCAAGTAAATATAATATTTCTTCTGAATAAAATTTTGAGAGGAACAAAAACATCACAGGAGGAAAGAACACTGCTCCCCTGCCTCCACTGCAGCTGATGGCAGACAGCTTTCTAATTTTATATTACCTTCCTGAAATTTGCCACAAGAGTAGTATAGACTGGTGCTGTCTTTAGAGACCTGAAATCTGCCATTCCCTTTTTCAATGAACTGTTTCACCTAGACAGCAGGTTTGGAGAAGAACCTGGGTATGTCTACATGTGTGATTAATGTGCATGAATAAACTCTGATCCTTATTGCTCAGCAGTTTTTTGCTTCTAGGCGTGTCATTTGAACATGCGCTCAGGAGCGAAAACTCCAGAACATATTGCTCTGGAGTTTATTTGTGCCCAGCATGTGGTGCCCCGTCAGAGCAGCCCGGGCTGGCAGGGGACCTGGAAGGTCAGCCTGCCAGCCCCAGGCTGCCCTACTCCATGTAGGGCCCCAGGCTGGTTGCTCCCATGGGGCTCCACATGCTGCAGAGCGGCTGGCCGGGGCATAAGGGTGCTTCAGCATGAGGGCTGCCTGCCGGCTAGCCCCACACTGAAGCTCACTTTGCCTCAGCCAGCCAGAGCAGTGTCTACACATGCGCTGCTGTGCATGAAAAAAATCCTGCAGCAGGGTAGTACTTGTATTTTATAAGACAACCCTGCTATGGAGTTTATCAGTTTCAGGCACCCTAATAGGGGCACACTGTAGATGCTGAGATGCTTACTGCGCAGTTAATTAGTGAACTCTGCAATAAACATCTCGTGTAGATGCAGCCCTGTGTTCTAAATGAAGTTCTCCATGTAGAGGCAGGAAATAGACTCCTGAGGGAAAATATCACTCCAAAGCTGGTATTGGAAGAGCACCATTCATCCAAAGCCCTGGCTCATTTTCATGGGAGCTGAAGGGAAGATATTATATTAATTCACTCTGTAAGGGCACAGACAGAAGTGCAGCTCCCAGGTCTAACTCATGGCAATTCATAGGAAACGCCATGAGTTAGACTTATCCCTCCGATCCAACAGACGTTAGTTGTTGAATTGGAAGGGTGGAAAGATAAGATCCAGTTTGGAGCCAATTGGGGAAGAGAGGCTTCATCTTTCCCTGGCTCTGCCCCTTTGCTATCTCTGGATGGCAGTGGGGGAGAAGGCAGGGGAAGGAGGTCTTCTGGGGTTTTCTCAGCCCTGCTGGAGTGAGGAGCTCCAATCCCCACCCCCTACCCCCTCCAGCAGGGCTGAGAAAATTCAAGGGACCTCTATTCAGAAACAGCAGCTGTTGCTCACTGTGATACAGCTGGAGCAAACCAAAATGAATTATGTCGCTCCACTTAGGAGTGGTTTCATTTGAAGCCTCATACAATGAGGGTTAATTTGTTGCATGATCTGTTTGGGCACGGCTTTAGAGCCAATCACACAGCAAATGGGGCCAATCGCACAACAAATTTCATTTCTGTCTGTGCCCTAAGTATTTTCCCTA